TGCAGCGAGAAGTCAAATAAAAAAGAGATGCCTTTCGATGCCCTGTTTTTTTTTTCGTTTTTTTTTTTGGTTGATTGGTTGGTTGGTTGGATGGATGGGTGGGTGGGTGTTTCGCGGGAGGGGGCGGGGGAGCGGTTTGCTAACGACACACTCTTTTTTTTTTTCGGTTTCCGTTCTTTTCACCGCCAATCACAGACGATCATACCTGGCATAAATATGAGCTGAACGCCCCACATCATTTATTGGCTGAGTTTGGCTCTATCATCTATGCCCTCGCTCCAGTCCACAGAGAGAGAATCAGTTCAATCGGAAAAGCGGGTTACGCCACAGAGGGGTGGGAAACATAAAAATTGAGGAGATAATACAGTAAAAAAAACAGAGGAACACCGAGAGGAACCCCGAGTGTTTTTTTTTTTTTTTTTTTTTTTTCAACACAAAGCTCCCATGAGTCCCATCTATTCGTGGGGAGCAGCACGTGCTGGGAAGCGGGCCCAGCGTCCCACGTGAGATGACAACATGTGAATTAAGTAGTCGGATAGGCATTGCCCAGCTAAAGCGAAGACAGCAAACTCGGCACACTTATTATTGGGAACGTTTGGACAGAGGGGGGTCCCCGGTCCTGTGGGGATCCCTAAACCAAGAGCAGGGCACTATTGCTACAGGGGCCTCTTCACCCCATTACAGGGGGGTGCCTGCTCCAGGGTCTATCTGCCCGGGACACCTTATCCATAGCACAGTTTTCTGTCGCGGTTTCTGCCCCCCCCGTCCTCCGCACCCGTCCACTCAGTCCTGCCCATACCACTGCTTATCAACCAGGGGAAGGGGGCCGGGGGGGGGGGGGGGGCGGCGGCGGGGGCCCGGGGGGGGAAATGGGTCGGGGAAATCAGAAGATAGGGGGCGCATCGGGATTGCGGGGTCGACTACTATCCAGTCATTAAGGAGAGTTTGTAGTCCCTTTTGAGCCCCTCCTGTTCACCTTCAAGCCCGACTGTCGTTCTTTCAAAAGCGTAAAATGACTCAATATTGCCTCACTCAAGATAGGATGAAAACATGCCCCCTCCACCAATACAGTCCGGAACCCCCTTTTTTCCTTTTTTCCCCCGAAGGGCGTCGGCCTTTAGATATTATCAACGAGCTCACGGAACCCGGGTGTCTGTGATTTGAGAATTAGTAGGCGAAATACGAAATACGAAACTCTCTCTCTCTCTCTCTCTCTCTCTCTCTCTCTCTCTCTCTCTCTCTCACACACACACACACACACACACACACATCACTACATATCAATACATAACGGTGAGATCCCAGCGAAAAAGTGTCGCAAACTCTCTCTCTCTCTCTTCCCCCGTACACATCGCCGGTGAAATTCCGACGGTACAGTCTGTCACAGCCCCTCGTTTGTTGTCCTC